CAAAAAAAAAAAAAAAAAGAATAGGAAAATTTATTGGGGAATAAGAATAGCTCCTGAGAGATAGGAGGGGTCCCAAATGGGTTGCCAGTGAGCCCACTTCTCAAAGGAAATGTTATAGAGCAGAATCACAAGGGTGGATACAACATGGATAAAGACTATAATCAACTAAGGATTACAAGTATAATCACTTAGGTAATATTGATCCTTAGTTCGAGAATTTTGATTACCTAAGCAAGTCCCAATGTAGAGTCTATGAAACAAAAGCAAACACCTCCCAGTTATCTCAGTGGAAACTCCAAATTATATAGAAATGATACAGCAGAAATAAATGTAACTCCCAGCCTGCTAGATGTCACATATGTTTGTGTTCCCCGAAGTTGAAGAATGAATTTTAAGGAACAGTGGAGGTTAAGTGTAGGAAAATTTATTGGGGAATAAGCATAGCTCCTGAAAGACAGGAGGGGTCCTGAATGGGTTGTCCTTTAGTTCTTTTTCTAAGTGTATGGATGTATACACGTTTGAGAAGGGTTAAAATATAAATGGGTTCACATCACATGTATATTCTAGTTGCTTTTTGTTTTCTGACTTGAGAGCCATTACCATTTTTTTTTTTTTTTTTTTGGTACTGGGGATCGAACTCAGGCCCTTGTGCTTTCGAGGCAGGTGCCGGAACTACTGAGCTAAATCCCCGGCCCTCTAGTTGCATTTTTACTTAAGGGTACATTTTGTCTTTTGAGATCTTCCAATTAACATATTTATCTTTTTTCTTCTGAACTAGGAATTGAACCCAAGCCCTTCATACTGAGCTACATCTCACCCTACATACTTTCATTTTTTATTTTGAGACAGGGTCTTACTAAGTTGCCCAGTGGGCTCAAACTTGGAATCCTTCTGCCTTAGCCTCCCAAAGTGCTGGGGTTGCAGGCAAGCACCACCATGCCTCACTGATGTTCCTCTTTAATGGTTTCTCATCTCATAGTGTAATTTATATAAAATAAAAAAAATTTGTCTATCATCTGTTATTTGGAGGGTATTGTGCAGCAAGCACCTAGGGGGCTCTAGGCAGGATCACAGTCTTATCCTCGCCATCGGTGAGCTGGCTCTTTGGGGGAGATGGAAGGAGTGAGACAGGTTCACCTCCTAATGTCCCTGGGCATGCACCTGGAGTTCAGAATTTGGGGAAGCCACTGTTAACTAGGAGAACCAGGACCTCCCAGAGGAGATAGATGACAGGTGAAGGGCAGAGCCTGAGCAAGGGCACGGGGAGGGAAGTGTGATGCAAGTTCATCTGATACCAGACTGCAGGCAGGGAGCAGGAGGAGGACTGGGTTCAATTCATACACACTTAGCCTGCATTTACATGTCCGACATAAGCAGTGAGGATACAGAAATGAAAAATAGGAGGTTCCTATCTCTAAAAGACTTTCAGCTTAATACGATAAAAGATCAGTTCAGAAAAGTAGATTAGGGCTGGATGACAAAGCTTTTAATTGGCATATTGAGTCAGAATTTTATTGGGCAATGTTGAACCATGACAGGCTTTTAGTGGACAGGTGACATGACTGAAACTGGATTGAGGGACTGCACAGAGTAGTCTGAAGTGTAGAAGTTTATTTTTTCCTGAAAACAGTCTTGCCATATATATATATGGCCCAGGCCAGCTTAGACTCGCAATCCTCCTGCCTCAGTAAACTATCAGTCCTCCTCCTGAGTACTGATAGTTTATTTCTGTCTCAGTTAAGAGATGCCCAATGAGCCCTGCAGTGGTGCACACTTGTAATCCCTGCTACTCGCTACTTGGGAGAGTGAGGCAGGGAGATTTCAAGTTTCAGCCTAGGCTGGACAATGTAGTGATTTAACAAGAGTATCTCAAAGAATAAAAAGGGCTGGGAATGTAGGTCAGTGTGAAGGCCTGAGTTCAATCCCCATACCCCCCCACACACACAAGTGGCTGATGGGGAGCCGGGTGGGGTTGCACACCTGTAATTCCAGTATTCTCAATGCTGAGGCAGGATTGGGAGTTCAAGGCCAGCCCAGGCTACATAGCAAGACCTGTCTCAAAACCCACCAAGCAAAAAGATGCCTGATGGGTGGAGGAATGTGGTTCATTGGTGAGACACATGTCTAGGGTTCACGAGGCCCTGGGCTCTAGCCCCAGACCAAAAAAAAGGGTACTTGATAGTAGGGGGTCCACAGGCTGGTATAGTGGCTCTCCAGTTATCAGAGGCTCAGGCTTCTATTTTTTCAATTCACCATAGTGGGACATAGATAGCTTCCATCCTCATGGTCTAATACAGAGACTAGAGCATAATTCATCTCATCTGTATTGCAGGTAACAGAAAAAAATGAAGGGAGATGATTGGGGAGAAGGAGATGAACACACAATGAGACACTTCTTAGCTAACTCCCTTCAAGGAGTCTTCCTGGAAATTTAAGACAAGACTTCTAGCACTTCTGTTTATATCTCATTGGCCAGAACTTAGATTGCTATATCCAGTTTTTATTTTTATTTTATTCTTTTTGTGGCACTGGGGATTGAACCCTGGCCCAGCCCTTTATTCCTTTATTTGAATTGAGTGGATTTTTTTTGTACTGGAGATCAAACTCAGGACCTTGTGCTTGCCAGGCAGGCATGGTGCTGCTGAGCTAAGTCCCCAGCCCTGATTGATTGGATTTTTGAGACAGGGTCTTGCTATGTAGTTAAGGTTGGTTTTAAACAGATTATTTAGCCCTGGGCCAGGGATTTAGCTCAGTTGTGCCACCCGCCTGCATCACAAGTGCAGGGTCCTGAGTTTGATCCTGGTACCATAAAAAAAAAAAAAAGAAATATACATTATGTAGCCCTGCCTGGGCTCAAAATCACGGTGATCCTCCTGCCTTCACCTGTGTATTGAGATTACGGGCGTGCTCCACCACACCTGGCCATAGCCTTTTTTTTTTTTTTTTTTGAGACAGCGTCTTGCTCTGTAGTTCAGGTTGGCCTTGAACTCACTATACAGCCTAGGCTGGTCTCAAACTCTCAGCAATCCTCTTGCCTCAGCCTCCCAAGTGCTAAGATTACAGGCGTGCCCCTTTTTAAATTTTGAGTCAAGGTCTTGCTAAGTCACTAAATTGCCCAGACTAGGCTTGAATGTGTGATCTTCCTGCCTCAGCCTCATGAATAGTTGGGAATACAGGCATGCACCACTGTGCCCGGCTTTTTTTTTTTTTAATCCCAAAGAGAAAGGGTTTAAAATGTGTGGTCATCATGGGAATGGATGGTCAGAGCAGGAGATCCTGTGGAAGAATCCAAAGGAGACGGGTTGGACGTGGGAGATGAAAGAAGAACCAAGATGCTAATAGCAGGTGTGCATCAGAAAGAGGAGACTGGAAAGGAAGCCCAGGTGGTTGCAGCAGGGGTGGAAGCTGGTGTGTGTTGGGTTTGTCGAGTCTCAGGTCCTGGCTAAACATCCAAATGGAGATGTCCAGTAGGCAGTTGTGCCTGGAGACTGTGAGGGCAGTCAGCACTCTGATGCTAGAGACATGCTAAGGACAGTAGGCCACGAAGCAGCCGTAGATTCCTTACAGTGAACTTGTTGAGTGCTGCTGAGTGAGCAGAATCTAGGTGCCAAAGCCTGAGGGATGGCCATTGAGGGTTTAAATCATGCAAGAGGACTGGCAGGAGCACCTGAAATAAGTTGAAGCCCTTCACAAACATGAAGGGATTGTATGTGCCATCCTTCTGGAAAGATTGTTGATGAGAGCAGAAAGAAAATGGTAGCGTTAGAGGAAAAGGTCTACGACACCCCCCGCTCCCCCCCCCCCGTTCTTATAGGAAAGTAGCTTCTTGTGCTTTTCAGTTAACTTTCCAAGGGCAGGGGCCTAGGACAGCTGCGGGCTTTCTTCTGGATCTAACTTTCCAGAAATTCAAGCTGCAGGGAGACAGGTGGGAGGGATGCTGCTTTGACAGCTGATGGCTGGAGGGGGCCAGACACTGCCAGGGTGGTGTGGAGGGACGTATCTTAGAGGAAATATTCTGGACTCAGGCAGAGCTGAGTTTGAATCCTGTTTCTGTGGCCACCCAGCTTGAAGACCATGGACAAGCAACTTGCACACTTGGCTCCTTAGCTGTAAAATGGAAACAGCTGCGCCTACCATTCAAGGTAGTTTTGAAGGCTAGAAACTAATCTGCACACAGTAGATGTGCACACAGTAAGTGGCTATTATGTGGTCAACCCCTCCTGTGGGACAGAATGGCTAATCGACAGACCTGGTCAGAATCAGCTGCGACCTCCGATCTCAGCGGTTAGGGAGGGCTCCCGCGGCCTCCTCCCACGAGGAGGTGGGGACAGGGTGGAGGAAGGGCTGCGGAAGGAGGAGCTAGCTGCTCCGAGACCCGCCCCGTCCCGTCCAGTCAGGCCTGGGCGCCGAGGGAACGCTCTCCTAGTCGCCACTGCCCCAGCAGCCGTCCTAGTGCCCGTGCCCGGTCCCGTCCAGTCATGACCCTGCGCCCCTCACTACTGCTGCTCCACCTGCTGCTCCTGCTGTTCAGTGGGGTGCTGTGTCGGGCCGAGGCTGGGTCTGAAACCGAAAGTCCAGTCCGGACCCTACAAGTGGAGACCCTGGTGAGGAGATGGTCCCGGTTCCAGGCCCCCACGGGCAGGGACTTATCGGGAACACGGGGGTCAAACGAACCCGGGGCGGGGGTGGGGGGAGGAGAGGAAGTGCGGGAACTGAGTTGGGGGGTGCTGGGTCTAGGGGACAGCACTGGACCTTTGGAGGAGCATCCATGACCCTTGTAGTCCGATCGCAGGTGGAGCCCCCCGAGCCGTGTGCGGAAACCGCTGCCTTCGGAGACACACTCCACATCCACTACACGGTGAGGGCCGGGAGGGGAGGGGAGGGGAAGGGAGGGGGCCGGGAGGGGGCCGGGCGGGGCCTGGAGGGGGCGGAGCCCCGCTGAAACACGTCAACCTTGGCTCGGACACGTGGCAAGAGGTTTGGGAGAAGAAACGGGGTCCTCGAGCACGTGGCGGGGGGAGGGGCGCTCCTCCTCCCTGCCCATTTCCCGGGGCGCTTTTCCGCCAGTTCCACCGGGGCACTGAGAAACGAAGGGTGGAGAGATCTCCGAGAAGCTCCATCCCTTCGGGGTTTCCTGTTCTTTTCTACCCGCCCCCCGTGGGGGGGTGGGGGGGTCGTTGGGCTGCTGCTTTAAGGGAGTTGTCGCCACCCGGCGGTCCAGGTGTGTATTGTCCGCCCGCTGGAAGGGAGAGGTACTGTACTAGGTGTGTGCTCTTGACTCTCTCTCTCCCCCCCAGGGCAGCTTGGTAGATGGACGCATTATTGACACTTCTCTGAGCAGAGACCCTCTGGTTATAGAACTTGGCCAAAAGCAGGTGATACCAGGTATGTGACCTGCTTCTCTCGTTCTGTTTCTTTCCAACCTAAGCCCTTCCTTAGCCTCTTTAACCAAAAGCTGCCCTGGAAATGCTCCCTGGAATGAGCAAGAGCCTAGGGATGGATCTAGTAGCTATTTCCTAAGGCCCAAACCCCACTTCTAACACTCACTCCTCTTTGTCCCATATCCCACTGGATGCCAGGAATTTGAGAAGCTGGGCAAAGCCCAAGTGATGGTCAGAGTGGCACCTTGGATCTTCCTTTCGGGTAATTTGGGGAATGTAAGCAGCTTGCAATTCAGTTATGTCTTCTTTCTCAAGGTCTGGAGCAGAGCCTTCTAGACATGTGTGTAGGGTGAGTATCTGGGCAGGGCTGGGCCTGGGTACCTCTTTGCTTGGGTAGAGATTTCTGTGCCATCCCTGCTTTTCCAGGAGCAGGAGAATGTGGGATAAAGGGGCCAGGCTTTGAACTGGACAGGTCCAGGTCAGTGGGACCCCTGAGGACATCCAGAGCCTCTGAGCCTCTCTGGCCATTGGTCTTGTTGAGAAGTTGAGACATTTAGGGAGAAGGACACCTTTACTGGTCAACTCGTTAGGTCCTCAGGTGGGAGAGGTCATGTTTGGGGTATGAATATCCAAGGGGTTTTGCTGGTGGAGCCTCAGGGATGAAGGCAGCTGGCCCACTGCCTTTGGCTGTGATGCACATTCCTTTCCTCAGAGAGAAGCGAAGGGCAGTCATCCCTTCTCACTTGGCCTATGGAAAACGGGGATTTCCGCCATCTATCCCAGGTAATATGACTAAGCCTGTCTCTTAGGCCATCAAAATACCTATTCCCTAAGAACTACAAGGGACTACAACTCTTTCTGGAGCTTCAGAAGGTCTAGATCACTTTTGCTGAAAGGAACAGTAGGGGCTGGGGCTTCCTTCTGTGGGGGTTCTTTTTTCCTCCTCAAATTACCAGTAGGGACTACAGACATATAACCTGTTTAGGCCACTGGCTTGGCCACTGGCAGCTTTTGAGGAAAGAGATAGCTGCTTGAGTCATGTGGGGCTGCTGCTTATGCTGCCCCTCCTGGAGCAGCCAAGGAACTCCAACAAAATAAACAAAAAGCAACCTTTAAATGCCAAGTCCAGCTTATAATTTTTTTGAGATTTGGTTTTGCTATATAGTTCAGGCTGGCTTTGAACTCACTATGTAGCCCAGGCTGGTCTCAAACTTGGAGCGATCCTCCTGCCTCAGCCTCCTGAGTGTTGGGATCATAGGTGTGTGCCACCACGCCTGGCTAACCTATAATTTTAAAAGCCTTCATATCTAGCATTGTTGATTTCTAGTCTCATAAGGCTGAGACTGGTCAGATTTCCCAAGATATGTATCTCTTTTCTTCTTTCTTTTTTTTTTGGTACCGGGGATTGAACTCGGGTCCTTGTGCGTGTGAAGCAGGCGGCCGAACCACTGAGCTAAATCCCCGGCAAAGAATATACTTAATGTCACCGAACATTTTTTTTTTTTTTTTGGTACTGGGGATCAAACTCGGGCCCTGTGTATCTCTTGCTTTTAACAGATGTTCTATTAGCCAAAATGTGTTTTACTCCACAGAACATTAGAAGCATTATTATTATCCTAGATCCAGCTTAGCAGGAAGCCTAGAAAAGAGGGTAGGGAGACTAAGGAGAAACTGTGTGTGTGTGTGTGTGTGTGTGTGTGTGTGTGTGTGTGTCTGTGCATCTGTGCGCCTGTGCGCGTGTGTGGACGCGCGCCCAGGCATGCACATGTTACTGGGGACTGAACCCAGGCCTTTTCATTGGGCTAGATCCTCAGCTCTTTAGTTATTTGAGACAGGGTCTCACTATGTAGTTCAGGCTGGTTTTGAACTATGTAGCCCAGGTTGGCCTCAAACTCATGGTGATCCTCCTGCCTCAGCCTCCCCAGTGCTGGAATTACAGGTGTGCACCACCACGCCCAACTATTTGCTTCTGTTTGTACCTCTCCTTCCACTGGCTCCTGTTCCACCTGTCCCTTACTTCTTAACTCATTCTTTCTTTTTCCTCAGCTCTAATGCCAGACACCTGTTTTCTAATAATCACATTGAGTGTGCTCATTGGTTGGTGGAATGTAAAAGATGTCTAGTTTAAAGTTAATTGATTTCAGCTATGCAAAAATTCTACCCATGTGGCTGTTTGGAAATGAGGGTCAGTTGGTGTAGAGGGTTCTTCCACTTCAAAGTGGAGAAGAATCATGTGTTTCCTATTCTGTGTCAGAGACCTGTCACTGAAGCCAAACCCCATGTGTAATTGGGTTAGCCGTCAGTAGACTGGTCGCAACCCTCCTCTGCTTTTGTCTCAGGGATTCAACATCACAGCTTCACAGTTCATGTGGCTGTGGCCCACTCTCCCTTTTTTCATTCAGATTCAGAGCTCTGGATAAAATGCACAGAAATCCTAACCCTCACCTCCCTCTACTTCTCCAGCGGATGCAGTGGTACAGTATGACGTGGAGCTGATTGCACTGATCCGAGCCAACTACTGGCATAAGCTGGTGAAGGGCGTTTTGCCTCTGGTAGGCATGGCTATGGTTCCAGCCCTCTTGGGCCTCATTGGGTATCACCTATACAGAAAGGCCAGCCAACCTAAAGTCTCCAAAAAGAAGCTCAAAGAAGAGAAACGAAACAAGAGTAAAAAGAAATAATAAAAATAGTAATTAACAAGAAAAAAACCTCTTTGCATTCTTACATGATACTTTCTTCTGAGGCTGCTTATGTAAGTGGGAATAAGGCGAAGGGCTTAGTAAAGAGGGTTTCTGGACTTGGATCTGGCCTGGGGTGGAGGTTGGAGGCCTGGACCACCGTTTCCCTTGGCCTCCCCTTGCTGTTGTGTCTTCCCCAAGGACCTGGTCTGAAGTCTGCCCATAGGATCTCTAGGTCCTCATGGTGCTACAGTGCCAAGCGGCCATGCTGCACTGAGCGTGAGCCTCCCAGGATTGCCTGACTATACTTTGCACTCTCCGGGATTGCAGTATTCCTAGTGTCCTCAAAACAGATTGCTCTGTCTAATGTGGAACAAATACAAGAAACTATAAATTCTGTGAAGATTTTAATAGCAAATCACTTAGGTCTCCCAAAAAACAAAATCTTGGGATTGGAAAGAGGCTTCCATTTGTGTCACAGGGTGTGGGAGATCCCATGGGCTGCTTCAACAATGTTGCAAGGGGTTGGAGGTTGCCTGTCACCTGGCTGGGCTGCTGGTGTGGACAAGGGCTGAGGTAAGTTACTCCGATGGTTGACTATGAACAGTGGGTTGAGCTGGCTCAGCACTTCATCACTCACTGAGATGCCATCCAAGTACTGCTTGAGCATCTCCCGAAGCTTCCTGTTGATTTCTAACAGCTGGGCTCGTCTGTGCTGGAGGCTCAGTTGCTCCAGTTTCACTTTATTGTACCTTTTCCAGAAATTCTCCATCGCACTGTAGTTCACCATCACCTAGGGGTTGAAGCAGAGGGAGAAGGTGTGCAGCAGGACCCTCTAGCAAATGCTGCCACCGCTTTGAGCCCCCAGCTTGTACCTTTGCAAGCTCTTCGGTGAGCTCTTTGCCTCCATTCTGCAACTCAATCTCCTGCTCCTCAGAAGTCAAGACTGATGAGTAGAAAGGCAGCACTTTCTCTTCCTCAGTTTCTAATTTCCTACATAGTTCAGCAAGTTTAAGGATCCTTTCACCCTGTTGAAAGCAGGTGAGGACGAATTAGGGAAGAGGGTGGGAAGGGGAGATGGTGGAGTCCATTTGCCTGCTTGAATCCAGGAAAGCTCATCCAGTGGGAGGCAACAGTAATAAATATATCTAACATGCAATGTTCACCATGGGCTGAGCGCTGTCCTAATTAATTCCTATAGAATTAACTCATCCATTATTTAAAATGTAAGGGGATGGAATAAAAAAGGTAACCCAAAGCAACCACTTAGGTGGGAAGCAGGAAGCAAGAGGAAGCCCTCCTCTACCTCTCCGTACCCCTTTCACCTCAAACTAGCTTCCTTGGCTCTGTTCTGATTGCCCTCACCTTGTTTGTTTATTTATGTATTTATTTATTTATTGGTTCTGGAGATCAAGCTCAGGTGTGCTCTGCCACTGAGCTACAGCCCCATCCCCAACCCCTACTTCTTTTTGAGCCAGAATCTTGCGAAGTTCCCCTTAAACTTGAAATTCTCTTGCCTCAGCCTCCCTAGTGCTGGGAATATAGCATTTACCACCATGCCCAGCTCCCTTTGTTACCTTATCAACGACTTTTCTCAGCGCCTTGAGGGCGGCATTACTTTCCCGGGTGAGTTTGACTAAGTTCTCCTGGGATGTTCCCCAGGCCTGACTCCTTTGGGCCTTAAGTTTTCGCAGCTGTATAAGGACCAGCTCCTTGTCGTTGCGGATATACTGGTTCTGATCCTCGCTTTCTCGGCTGTGTAGCATGATCTTGCCTTTTGAAACAGCTATGGCCTCCTGGAGGGACAGAGTAGATGCAGGAGACACATGACCAGCAGGGGACATGGGGGTCCACAGTGAGACTGAAATCTGAGCAAATTGTCTCTCCCCACCCAACGATGAGTGCTGAGACCATGACACGGGGTCAGTTTGAAGCAGTGTTTCCTGTGGGCTGTGCTAACCTGTAATTTCTGTATTGTTTTCATCTGTGCTTCAATCTCTTTGGAGCTCTTCTCATCCTTCACCTTCAGGGTCTCAAAGGCAATCTTCCTGTCCTCTGTGGCATCAGTGTATCTCTTGAGTGCCTCCTGGAACCTCTTACACAGATCTTCTACTATATTCTCCAGTTGTAGTCGTAGAAAGTGCTTCTCTTCTAAATTCTAGGAAATGCCCCCAAATACTAAATGCTTAGAATAATATTAATGCCCTTCAGTTCTACCAACAACCTCATCCACTTTATTTTGGTATTGGGGGTGGAATACAGGGAGCATTGACCTATGTCCCCCCCCAATTTTTTTTGTATTTTGAGACAGGGTCTCACTAAGTTGCCCAGGCTGGCCTTGAATTTATGATCCTCCTGCTTCAGCCTCCCAAGTAGCTGAGATCACAGGCCTAGGCAACTTTTTCAGAAGTTTTACAAATCATTGAGTAAATTAAAAACAAGAACACATACCTGGGAATGCAGGTTGCCTAGGTTTGTAAACCTCCAGGATAGTAGAAAGAACTCTGGGCCAATGGGCAGGAAATCTAGATTCTCCTAGTGCTACCACAAACCAGCAGCTTGACTTGGGTCAGGTCTTTGGGTCTTAATTTCTTTCCATTTCTTTTTCTTCCTCTCTCTCTCTCTCTCTCTCTCTCTAAGACAGGGTCTCACTATGTAGGTTAGGCTGGCCTTGAACTCACTATGTAGCCCAGACTGGCCTCGAACTCACAGTAATCCTCCTGCCTCAGCTTCCCAAGGGCTTGGATTTTAGGCATGCACCACCATGCTCATGGGGCTTTAATTTCTTCATCTACAAATTACAGAGGTGAAATCAGATGTTCTCTCCTTGGTACTTTTTAGCTGTAAAATGCATTCCCTTGACAGTTTAGAATGGTCTTCCCTCTTGACCATTTTTCACAAAATTACAAAGAGCAATATGGCACCTGCAGTGCCACCAACTTCTGTTGACTGTTGGTTACAGGGCTCTCTTCTGGCTCTTGTAGCCTTGAGCAATTGTTCTCTCACTTTTCTTCTAGTTCCTACCCCTGCATGCTCCCTGTACCTTGTTTTTGAGATCATCCCACATGCTCTGGAACTCCAGCTTGCTTTCATACTCAGAATCTATGTAGTTCTGCTCCATGGCCATGAAGACATCTTGTAGGTAGTGAATCTCTTTCTCGTGTTGGTCAGTAATTGTCTTCCTGTTGGAGACAAGACATTGTCCCTGCTCTGATGGTTAGAATATATGGGCCAATAACAACGGCTCAAGAAGTATGTAATAAAACTCTATGAATGGTACCAACTCTGAGGTACTGACAGTGAAGGGGGAAGGAGGGCTCTATTATTTTAGGGCCAGAAGGAATGAATAAAATTATCATTTTTTCAGTACCAGGCCCCACACACTGAGCTATATTCCCAGCTTCTTTTAATTTTTAAATTTTGAGACATCATCTCGCTAAGTTGTTAAATCCCCAGGCTGGGGTTGAACTTGTGATCCTCCTGCCTCAGCCTCCTTGGGTGTGAGGATTACAGGTATGCACAACCACACTGGCTTCATTTTGGTATTTGAAGTGACACATTCATATTGTACAAAAATTTAGAAGAACAAATTTACTTCCCTGTCCACTGTCAGCTAAGTAGGGCTTGATAGGTAGAAGTGGGTGGCAAAGGTACACAGACAGGGGCCTGGCGAGGATGAAGGGAAGTGCAGGCTGCAGACTACACCTGAGTTCATCCGGAAGAAACTCAGGATCAGTTCTGCGGGGCTCAGGTCATAAAGTGGGATGGCCCCCTGCTTCCAGGCAGCCCTTCGCACAGACTCTGGGTTCTGCCCTGGATTCAGTCCCCTGTCTTTTCTCACTCCTATACCTTTCAGTTTCAAACTCCATGGTTAGGGCCTCCAGCTCCATGTTGTAACTTTCTTCCAGGAGGCTGAGCCGGCGCCTCTGCAGGGCCAAGAGCTGGTCGACATTGTGCAGATGGCTGCGCAGGGCATGGGCGTACTGCTCCTCCGCCTCGGCCAGGTCCTTAGCTAAAGACTGGGTGGGAAGCAGAGAGTTACCATCTGACTGGAGTGGCATCTGTGTGAGGAAATGAAAATGTGTGCAGCTGGCTCCCGGATGGCTGACAGCACTTTCCCCTTAGGTGCAAAATCCCGGTCTTTGGCTCTCAGAGTGCTGGCTCTCCGCTCACGCTGGAAGGTAAGCAAGAGTGCCAGGAAGACACCCTATGAAGGTGGCTGGTGGCCGGTAGACAGCAGACACAGTGATGGAGCTACCGAGGAACCGGGGGTTCTTGGAGAAATGGCTGCTTTGAGGCAGAACATAAGTTGAACCTAGTACATGTTGTATAAGATAGTAAATAAGCCGTCAAAGACCAATAAAATCAAGTCAGACTCAGGAACCAACATGAACTGGCTGACTTGCAGATTACATTTTGCAAAGATAACCAGATATCTCCCACCTGAAAACCTTTGCAAAATGATCTTGCCAGTTCCCCATCAAAAAGTAGTGTCTCAGGGCCGGGTGTGGTGGTGCACTCCAGTAACCCCAGCTACTCAGGAGGCTAAGTCTGGAGGAATGCAAGTTCAAGGCCAGGCTGGGCAACTTAGTGACGGGTTGGGAAGTAGTTCAGTGATGGAGTACTTGCCTAGCATGTGCAAAACCATGGGCTCAGGTTCAGTCTCAAGCAACACACACACACACACACACACACATTTCTTTTTCCATCTCCTTGAGTTTGGGTGGACCATATGACTACTTGGATTAATAAAAAATGGTGGAAGTGGTGCTGTGCCAGTTTCAAGAATAGCCCTTATCTGACCTTATCTTACTGGCCCTTTTGGGGTGCTCCTAGGAACCCAGCCATCATGCTGTGAGAAACTGAACACATATGCAGGGGCCATATGACAACAGTCAGCAGCCTAGCTAAGTGCCCCACTGACAGCATTAGCTGCTGGCCATGGAGTACATCCAGCCCCATCAGACCTGGGTGACTGCCACCCTAGCTGACACCTGCCTGAAAACTGCAAGAGCCTGAGGGACCTCTGAGCTCAGTCTTACCTACAGAACCAGGAGAGATAATAATTGTTTCAAGCCCTAATTTAGGGCTGGCTTGTTATGTAGCAATAGATAACTGGAACACTTATACTCCCCACTCCCCCCCACAAGAAGGGACAATTTGAGCATCAGTAAAGATAAAAGCTGGTTATTAACATGCTCATGCCTGACCGGGGATTTAGCTCAGTGGTTTTGCCACCTGTGCGCAAGGGCAAGGACCCGAGTTGGATCCTGGTACCAAAACAAACAAACAAACAAACAAAAAACATGCTCATGCCTGTTACACTAGAACTTGTGAGGCTGAGCCAGGAAGAATGTGAAGTCAAGGCAGGAAGACAGTGAATTCACTGTGCTGCACAGAGAGACCCTGTACTGAAAAACCCCCCAAAAACCCCCCAATGGATTGAAAATTGAACAATATTAAATATGTTTAATTATGAGTTCATAAAGGTACTCTTAAAAAAACAGTTACCAGCTGGGATTTAGCTCAGTGGTTCCGCCACCTGCCTCGAAAGCACAAGGACCTGAGTTTGATCCCCAGTACCTAAAAAAAACCAGTCACCATTAAGGATGCCAAACAACCAATCCTTTTTTTTTTTTAACTAGTAAATAAAGGGAAGAGAAAGCATTTATCTGCCTTTCATATATAAATGATACCTCCAGCTAACTGAGTGGTAAATAAGGGGAAGTATTTTTTCATAGATGTATTCAAGTTAATACTTTAAAAAATGACTAATACTGGGCCGGGGATTTAGCTCCATGGTGCCACCACCTGCCCTACAAGCACAAGGACCCAATTTCGATCCCTGGTACCAAAAAAAAAAAAAAGAAAAAAGACTAACACTGTTAGAAAATCAGCATTTTGCAACCCTCAATTAATTAATGGATCATCAGTAGGTGCCAAAATCACAAAAAGAAAACTAGCCATTATATGCCTCTTGATGGAAGAATACAACAACTACAAGCTTCTCAATTGCCAAAATATAGGAAATACAAAGGACAATGTAACATGTTCTACAATCTAGATTAATATGCAGTATTATTAAAAAACGAAGGGCCAGTTAGGGTGGCACACACCTGTAATCCCAGACCTCTGGGAGGCTGAGACAGAAGAATCTCAAGTTTGAGCCCAGCCTGGGCAACTTAGTGATTTAGTGAGACCCTATCTCAAAATAAAAAATAAAAAAGGACTGGGGATGTAGCTTGGTGTGAGGAACCTGGGTTCAGTCCCCAGTATCTCTCTCACACACACACACACACACACACACACACACACATTTGGTCAGACAGACAGACAGATCTAGATATCTATATCTATTGGAAAGTTTCCCAGGGTGGGCTTGACTTGGCATCCTCCTGCCTCAGCCTCCTAGAAGGCTGAGATTACAGGTATGCACCACCATGCCTGGCTCTCGAGATATATTATTAAATGAAAAAAGGAAAAAAGCAAAGTGTAGAATAGTGTGTAATACTATCTTTTTTTTTTAAAAGGAGGAGAGGCTTAATTTCACTTATGTGTACTACTATAATTTCTGTGAAAAAAGTTTTACAAGACTGGAATTGTTGGGGGACATGGTATGGCTGGAAGGCACTGGGAGGAGAGATTTTTCTCTAAATAACCCTTTTTGTCTTTTGAATTTTGAATATGGTGAATTATTATCTTCAAAAAAGTAAAACAAATTAAAATTAAAGAAAACAAAACAGAATTCATTGAGTGTCCACATGATCCAGGCACCTTGAACCCCTGCACAGAGCCAGCTCTGACCTTGTAGGTTCAGAATGAAAGAAAGATCATGTGAAATAGATGCTGATCATAGGAGACTGTTCACTTACTCAGCAAATGTTTCTCAGACCCTGCTGTGTACCAGCATTGTGCTGGATGCTGAAGTTCTGAGAGGAAAAGACATGCACAAGGAACTCACAGTCTAGTAGAGAAAGTGTAAAATAAGCAGAAAGTCACACTACAACATGGAAGCCGCTATGAGATTGATGATTCATTAAATGACAGATACAAAGGACTGAGCGTCTGCATGTAACTAGCAGCCCTGAGAAAGGCTTCACTGAAGAAATGTTATTTGTATCAGCCCTTAAAGGAGGAGTGAAAGTTTGCCAGGAAGGTGGGAGATGGAGAAAAGGGAATTCCAGAGAGAGAAAAAAGCAAGAACAAAGACACAGGTAAGGAACAAGACCGGGGCTGAGGCAGGAAGATTCAAGTTCAAGGCCAGCCTGGGCAAGTTAAAGAGAGTCTGTATCAACATAAAAAAGGTGCTGGGGCTATAGTTCAATGGTATGGTGCTTGCCTAGCATGCATGAGGCCCTGGGTTCGATCCTGTGCACTGCAAACAAGATAAACAACCAACAGAAACAAGACTGGCTAGGGCCAGGGATTTAGCTCAGTGGTTTTGCCTCCTGCTGGGCAAGCACAAGGACCTGAGTTCGATCCCCAGTATGGGGAAAAAAAAAAAGAAAGAAAGAAACAAGACTGGCTGTATGACAGGTACAGGGAGGGGTCAGATCATGAGGGCTGTTATGTTCTTTCCATGAAGTTTGGATTTTTTTTCCTGTAAATGAGATGGGTCACTAAGGAGGATTAAGCAGTGGAGTGACAGGAATAGATGTCTGCTTTAGAAAGGTAATCCTGGCAATTGCACAGAGAACCATCTGGAGGCAGCTGACCATGAAGGCTGGAAGATAGAAAACCACTTCAGTTGTCCAGATGAGAGACAAGGTCCAGGTCTCAACTACAGCAGGACAGTGGGAAAGGAGAGCAGAGCATGGCTCTGAAAAATACTTTAAGCAGGAGTCAATAACAGGGATCAGGGATGATTCCCACATTTCTGGGTTGGATGACTCAGTGAATCTGGCTATCCCAATAGAAAAGTGTAAGGAAGACCAGGTTATGGAGAATGGGGCTCTTTGGAGAAGGGAAAACACAGGAGTCCAGTTGTGAGTTCAGTGCAACAGCTTGAAATAGACACCCAGGAAGCTTGAACAGAAGGATTTGGAAGTCAAGAGAAAAATCCAGGCTGGTGTTATGACCTGGGAGTCATCACTATCTAAGTGGTACTTACAGCCAGGGTAATGAGTTAGATGTCTAGTTCCTAGACAATGGCTAAAGGCTGAGATGGCCAGGCTCAGAAATCTGAGGAGTATTAAAGTTCAGGGGATGGAGAGAGGAAGATGAACTCCCAAGAGGACTGTGTGTGTGTGTGTGTGTGTGTGTGTGTGTGTGTGTGTGTGTTGGAGGCAGGAGAAATGCCAGAATGGTATCATGGAATCCAAAAGCCGATGTTAAGATATGGGGCATGATCAAAGGTGGCAGTGCCATAGGGAGGTCAGGTTAGAGGAGGAATAATAATGAAATGTAGCGATAATTCTGGATGGGTGACCTTTTCCAATGAAGAGTGGAAATCAGATGGTGTGGGGTAGAGTGTAAGTGTGGGAAGTGAAGAAGTTGAGAGAGCAAGTGAGGATCTCTAGCATTTGCATATTTTTAATATGTGCAGTCTGTTATTCGGGAACAACCTTGAAAGTGCGTTACACTAGCAGCACATGATTTACCTAAGACAAGGACTATAATCATAAGCTACAAGGCTGTTGAACAGGAAAAAGCCAATTGCCCCATGGGCAAACCCAGTCAACTGCTCAGCATCCCTTAATGAATACCACTGGCTCTCTTCTCATCAATTATCTGTTAACTCCCAATAAGGTCTGGAAAAAGCCACTTAAAGAGCCATAAGGTAACTGGGTGGATGGTGCATGCTTATAATTCCAGCACCTGGGAGGATGAAGCAGAAGGACTGCTGTGAGTTTGGGCTACACAGCAAGTTCAAGGCTGTCCTGGAATACATAATGAGACCCTGTCTCAATGAACAATGAAACAAACAGGCTTGGGATGTAGTTCAATGCTCCCTGGGTTCAATCCTCAGCACGACACACATACACACACCGGCCACAAGGTATATCTGGCAGGGTGAGGATTTCTAGTGTGTAATGATTTTTGCATATTTGAGGACTCTCAATATGCATCTCCTGAAGCTTCCCAAGGTCTGCTGATTTTTGTTTTTTGGGGGGGTCAGGGCTTACAACATAAAAGAGAGACACATTTTCTAGAGGAAGAATAGCATGATGACAGTGTATATTTGCTGTTATTGTGGGATTTTTTTGTTTTGTTTTGTTTGAGATGGAAAAGATGGAGGAGTCAGGAAACAGCTCTAAAGAGTAGAATTAAATAAGGGTTACAGCAAAATCCCTTAGAAGAAAGAATGGCATGAAATCAAGAACTTCCCAAGAGCATAAACATGACTTGCTGAATTGCCTAGAAATCCAAAATTGGTCTTAGTATGGAGATCTTTTCAGGATTACTGAAATTGGATCAAAGTGAGCAAACAATTTTGTAATATGAAGCGCTGGAGTGGGAGTTGAGAAACCCATGCTCTTATCTTAGCTCTCTCAGAGATTAGCTATGTGACCTTGGGCAAGTCAGTTCCCTTCTTTTTTTTTGTACATTTTCGGTATAAAATACAGTTACATTCATCATTGGGATCTTGTACCATTACATGAGTCTCTTGGTTCTTTTTTTCTTCCCCCCTTCCCTTGCCCTCCCTTCACCCCCTCCACCCTTCCCTATTTGCAAAGACCTTGTTTCCATTTTTTTCCT